CGAACCGGTTTCGTGGCCGTCGTTGTAAGGAGGCGAACGCCGACCGGCCGTCCATCCATCTATCTACTTATCCATCACATCAGTTCGTCCATCGTCATTAGTCCGGCATTTCCTGTGCGTCTTTGTGTTCGATTGGTGGCTTTTCTTTTTGGCCCGTTCATTCCACCGCCCCAGATTTACGCGCGCACTCGCACCTCTACCCTCGAGGTCGATCACTTGACCCTCGCTGTGAAGTTTGATGTGACCATGACGACTGGTCCGTCGCAGCCACGTTGTTCGATGGCACTTCAGGTCAGCTTCTCTTCTACCTCGTTTTCATTGTGCTACCCAAGGTGTTCATTCCTGTTGCGGCTCGTGTCCTTTGGAAATTTGAGTTTGTGTTTTTTCTGTTGTTCGTGCCCTTGGCTGTCTAACTCTTTACTACTTCACGTTTTCTCCGTTTACGTCCATTTTCCTTTGGCGTTTGTTTTTGCTAGTGTTGTCTGTTGATTTCCTTTCTTCATACCTTTATTTAACAAATGACCTATTTAGCAGAATATTGTTTCTTCGCAAAAACTAGTTGACATCTGTACAGCAAATTGTCCACGAGCTGCGATTATGATAACGTTGTAGATGGTTGCCTTAGTGTTTATGGTACTTGATTTTGTCGCATTTTCAGATTTCAGCCATTGCCCATCCTTATTGTCCTCTAAATATTAAAATGAGCCTCATCTTGCATATAATTTTTTTCACCGGTCTGCTCTAATGTGATCGTTTATTTTTGTTTTTCTTCACGTCATTCTCTGTTTTATTTGCAATGTTTGCTTTGTTTTTCATTGCTTTGCCGAACCGTTGCTCTAAATTAATTAGTGTGAAATATGTCATTTTTTATCTTTGCTTAAGACCAAGATTTTTTATTGTCTTTATTCAAGTGTTTCAATATTTATCCTGCAGAAGGTGCTCAGGTGAACGGTTCATTTCCTTTTTTCACACTGAGTTTCCGGTCTAGTTTTGCTCATTTGGCTACGCCATAGCTATTCCAGTTTTTACTACTATTTTAATGACGTGAACAGCATGGACAACTATCGGTTCTTCTTATCGTTCATCGTTTTTTCTCTCTGTCTCTGCACAGTTGTTTTTCGTAACCGTTTCGGTTTAATCTCATTTAGTTGAGGTCAACTTCAGTCACTCATCTTTCTTTTGGAGGCTGATAAATGAGTACCACTCAGTTGGAAAGAAACAGGACACTACACTGGAGGGTAAACTTTGCTTTCAAAATTTGGCACTTCTAGATGATTGCTTAGAGATTGAGATATTAATGCCATTGCATCAGCTTAATTTAAGGAATATCAACATTCCAACGATTGCAAACTTTCCTTTCTTTTTTCCTTACACCGTATACAGGTCAATAATGTTGGGGAAATGACCGATTGTTCTTTTTATTTTCATCATATGCACGTTGTAATCGACTACTATTACGGTACTATTGCGCTGATTAAAATATCGTCGGTCCACTGCTTTTACGAACCAGAGACCGAAACTCTGGTGCTGTTCTTTGAGTTCATATTTCTTTTAGTTGCTTACCCTTTTATACTCTGTTTTCTTGAAGCAAAGGAAACTTTACAGACTTGGAAAAGCAGCCGCCATGGCCGGTCCCAAGCCCGGATGAGAAAGGAGGAGGGTTGGAGACCGTGGC